AACTTCTGCTAATTCACGATATAGCACAACCACTAGCCAATGTCTTCAGCGAGTATTTTTCCCCACACCCGACCTGCTGCATCCTACTGGTCACGCCTTCCCACTGGAACCCCAGGTAACTACCTACCTGAATAGGGCCAGTCAACAGTGAGCATCTCATTGATATTCAAGTATTGGTTTGTAAGTTGTGGGTTGTTTGAAAGGCAAATTACCTCAAATTCGAATGCATTGTTGAATTCTTCCTTTCTTTTCTCCAGACTAAACATATATGCTTACTTTAGGACAACAGCAGCAGCCTAGTTCAGTTGGACTGAAAGAGGAATTTCATCTTCAACGATTCCGTCCAGGTTATCATGACAAGAGGTTGTGGTGTAACGCTTTACCAACAAATACCTCCACTTAAAATACTACAAGAAAAGCTTTGGGAAAATACCACGAATGAATAAATATTTGTATACTTATCGCTGCATTCAGAAATGATTCCTCATTTGCAAAGTTGGTAAAAAAGCGAACTAAATTTAATTCACAGCAAACATATTAAAATACTAAGGTGACAAATAGTCTTTTGGAAGATGAAAGGTGTCGAGAGGTATGCAAGATATGCTATATAAAAATGTTAGTGTATATCCTCCAACTCCAAAAGTACCAGAATCAAATTTTAAAAAAATGAATTCATCGTCCGAAATACGAAATATGTTCGGGGATCAGAAATCCTGAGCAGTGATGACTACTTAACCAGCTAGCTAGAATGTATAAAAAACAAACGGAAGCAACACGATAGAGTATTGAGATGATGGCGTGGATGCTTGACTGTATACCACCAACTTACTCAGTCGACTTAAATAGTGAAGGTCAGACGTAAACTAATAATTTTGGGGAATTATTTACCACCACAGTGTTAATTATCAGAAAGAGATACTTTATTAGTTCACAGGTTCTTTGACAAACACCATGCACAGAAGCATCCAACTTAATCTCCTGTTCCCCTATATCGAGGGTCTAATATTTGAATTGGACACTAGTTAGTAACTAGTCTAATGTGTCTAGTCATTTGTTTAGTGCAGACTGAATTCTATCAGTCAGCTTTGAAAAAATTTAGCCACTGGAAAAAAATCCAATGGCCCATGAAATCCAACTTCTGCCAATTCGTGTTTTAAGTACGACTGCCAGCCAGTTTCATTGGTGAGTACTATTTCTCATATTCAGCTTGATGCACGCCACTGGTGACAATTTCCCATTATTATTATTATTATTATACTATTATTGTTTCCTTTAATTCCTAGAGGAACATAGGGATTCAGCCGTGCGTCTCCATTGCGTTCGCTTCTCTGCTAGAGTCTTCACCTGGCTCCAAGTCTGCCCATACGCTTTCATCTCCTCTTCACATGACCTCTTCCAAGTCAACCTTGCACTGACGACAAACTCGCCGCTTCCCTTTCGGGTTCCACTCGAGCAATGGCTTGTCTAGTGATGTCACTTGATGGTTTGTTTCCTCAGAGTATGGCCAATCCATCTCCATTTCTTCCTGCCTATTTGTTGCACAATCGGTTCCTGGTTGGTTCGCTCATCGCCAGAGATCTCTGTTGCTGATCTTTTCTGGCTATCTGATCTTGAGTGGTATTGAGCGAGGACAACTCTAAATGAAGGTCTGTAGTTTGTTTGAGATGCTCTTTATGACGCGCCAAGTCTCTGATCCATCTGTATAGTAGCACTGACTGACTTCACATCGGAGTTGAAAATCCTGATCTTATTTTTGATGCTGAGTGCTGCTGATCTTCACACAGACTTGAGAGTAATGGAAGCTTGTCTTGCTTTCCTGATCCTCGCTGCTCTGATATCTTCATCAGTTCCGTCCGCCTGTAGTTGAAACGATGCTTCCCAGGTAGATAAAAGAGGTTTTTTCTTTCAGGTTCTTTCCATTTATGCTGATTGTTGTCTGTTGTTGTTGCTGTTGCCCAGGAATCTTCATCACCTCCGTTTTCTCTATGTTCACCTGAAGTCCTATCTTTGATGCTTTTTCTGCCATATTTCCCATATGAAGAATTATTAAAAATCAGGGAGTACTGGACAGTTGTTTCGCCTTAGTTTGAGACTCTTCAACTGTGGTTCAGCTTTATTCATTATTGTTTATCAAAGCATTTCGAATTGTGGCATTTTTACTCACTACAACAAAATATCTAATTGATTGTAGTAATCCATTTCATTCATTCTTATTGTTAAACTTAATCGATAAAAACTTACATATGACTAACTGAATGATTAGTGAATGACTGTTTCAGTTTTCCTGTTTTTTTCATTGTCATTTACTTTTTATTTATCAACCACATAATATAAATAATAATTCCAGTGACTAAGAATTTCTGCTTTTATATATTTTTTTCTCATTTGGTATATTTGTGAGGATTCCGTTATCACAAACTTTCGAAAGTTACATATTAGACGCATTGGATGCAAAATTCCGACCAGAACTAGCTGGATTCAGGAAAGGCAAATCATGTTCTGACCAAATTGCAACTCTACGCATTATCATCGAACAAAGCATGGAATGGCAATCAAATCTCTACCTCAACTTTATAGACTTTGAGAAGGCCTTCGACAGCGTTGACCGTGAAGTAATTTGAAAACTACTCGAGTACTACGGTGTACCCCAAATATTCATCAACCTTATTCAACAGCTGTACGACAACGGCACATGTCAAGTGATCCACAACGGAAAGCTCAGCGAAGCATTTGGAGTAAACACAGGAGTCAGACAAGGGTGCTTATTATCACCAATGATATTCCTAATTGTGGTGGACTGGATTATGCATCGGACAGTGGGAAACGAGAAGACAGGGATATCCTGGACCGACGTGAAGAACCTAGAAGACCTGGATTTCGCGGATGATTTATGTTTGATGTCACACAAAATCGAAGACTTACAAGCGAAAACCCACAAACTGGTCGAAGAAGCAGCCAGAGAAGACAGGACTCCAGGTGAACACAGACAAGATGGAGGTTATGAAAATAACCAATCAACAACAACAACAACAGCAGCAGCAGCAACATCCAGCGCCAATCACCATCAACGGGAGGGATTTGAAAGAGGTTACTTCAATGTCTTATCTAGGGAGCATTGTCTCGACTACAGCAGGAACGGATGAAGATGTCAAATCGAGAATCGGGGAGGCGAGAAACACATTCATCAACCTGAAACCAATCTGCAAATCTTCGTCACTCAGCATCAACAACAACAAAAATTCGGATTTTCAACACAAACGTCAAGTCAGTTTTGCTATACGGATCAGAAACTTGGCGGGTGACAAGGAATATTTCCAACAGCCTGTTGCAGACCTTTATCAACAACTGTCTTCGCTCTATACTCAAGATCAGATGGCTGGAAAGAATCACCAACAAGAAACTATGGGAACAAACAAAACAAGGAAGTACAAGGGTGACATGGAGGAGATCATGTGAAGAGGAATTGAAACAGTATGGACTAACATGGATGCAATTGAAAAGTACAGCACAAGACAGAAGCAAATAGAGACGTATAGTTGAAGCCCCATGTCCCACTAGGAACCCAAGGGAACGATAATAATAATAATAGACCTTGATATTAGACGGTTGGAGGCAATCGACAGGAAGCCTTAGACCTATGTTTAATGCTAGCTGCCATTAGACATATTACACTAGTTACTAACTAGTGTTCAGTCAAAAATATATCCCTACAGGAGGTCAATTGCTAGCCCGAAGAGCTCGGTGGTAACATCTCTGACTGACTGGAGTACTGGGTGACACGGGTTCGAATCCCAGAAGGGACATGAGTTCCTTCACGGTTGCAGATACACCTTGCTGATTGCTGAGTGTCTCCTAGCACCTAAGAAAGGACTAGTGTTCAATCAAAGTATCGATGAGATTGCACAGCTAAAGAGGAGAATGAATTCTCCGAAAACAGCTTCTTCTCTGAACTATAATGTTTTGCTTTCATCATTAATGTCTCGATGGGGTGATTATTCATGTATCTATATTTTCCAGTTTGCGTTCGAAATAACCCTTCTTCAAAGAGAGAGAGAGAGATGGACATACATACACGTAAAGTGACCTTAAATTATGATGACAAAAATTCCGTAATTGTACCATGTGAATCTTGTGACATGTTCAGTATTTTCGAAATTCATGCATGCAAACATGCTATACATACATGTATGTATTTAAGCATTAATACAATTTTCGATCGTTTTCATTAGAAAGTATATAACAACTAACTAACTACTACTGGTCAAATTACAGTAGAGAAAAGCCATTGAAAGACACACATCAGTGGTATTGAGTATGGATGATGATGATGATGGAGAAATAGATATAAATAAATATCGTTGCAGCTTACCCTGTATAATAAATATGATTGGTTAATACGCTCTTACCTTTCTATACTCTCTCATTTTCTATTGTATTTTTTATTCACTGACCTTGAAACATGTTGTGAAAATCTATTTAAGGTAAGATAATGATTGGTCAATGTAAGACTGTCCAATCAGATGAGTGAATTTTCGGTCTTAACAATTTTTTGTGACCTGAAGCTAACCTTACAACTTACTATTATAATGAATATGATTATCATCATTATTTTTATTATTATTCTTAAACACTGATAATAGTAATAATAATAATAATAAATATATTCAATCAATTGAAATTTTCTAAGCATCCTACAACACAATAACCTCTGCGTGTATGTGTGTGTATTTATGGATGGTTTTACATTGATAAAGTGGGGAAGAAATCTGATTTTTATAATAAAATTTGTCGCAGAACACATCTTTTTTTAGTGGGATAATTTAAAAAGTTGATAGAAAATTAATTTAAATACATAAATCCCATCTTTCTTTTTAGCGTTCAATACTATAAAAAAGGGGAAAATCCATTGCTGAATTATACCTTTTATGCGTGTGTATGTGTAAAGGTGTGGCGTGTGCTACTGACAAACCTTATAAGTAGTATATAGACGCAGATATAAATGTGTATATCAGCGCCAAGAATATCGAATGGTGAAGAGATGGATTTAATGAACGATCCTTGAGAAATAACATGGAAAACAAGACAGGCAGACAAAGAAGAAGAAGAAGAATGTGGAAGACAGAACAGTACAACACCGAAGATATATGCAAATAGTGATTTTACGTCTATTTGGTAGACATATTTTGCTTATATCTGTGTATCGAGTTGCAAACAATTCATTCCGTTACCAAATTCTTTCGTCTTCAGCCGTTACAAGAATAGAATTTATATCATCATCTAGAGTTATTTGGCACCATAAATAAAGGACCTATGAGACACGACCACTTCGCAATCAATGTCTTCTTCAATGAGTTACTGCCTCACCTTCAACATCGACACCAACAGGTATGGATGGTGGCTTGTTACTCATAATGTCAGCAATCATTAAACCAACTTTTATATTGAACACAAGTAACGATAGGTAAATTCATAAAATATATATTTCGCTATACATTTGCACCTAAAGCTCTATGCCAATTTTATATACACAGTGACTAAATATTATTTGAAAATACACTTTATCCTATTCTTTCCATTCTGAAATTATCAACGTTCCGTTTGTTCCGCCGAAACCGAACGAGTTGACCATAGCAACACGACAATGATGATGAGCAGGAGAGGATTATTTGGCCATTGGACATTTAATTCATTGTGTTTAGGAAGTACAGTAGCGCTATTGAACACATTGATACATTTTTGTACAAAAGATGAATCGGTGTGCGAATTTCGATTCATTTGTATAACTTCCATCAATTCATCGTTTGAAATAGGATTATGCAGATTAAGATTTCCACAAATTACACCTTTATTTACAGATAAAGCAGCGTAGACTGTTTCTATAGCACCGGCTGCCGCCAAACAATGACCAATATGACCTTTAATAGAATTGATTACAATCGGTGTATCTCTGTGAATTAAGTGTTCACCTAAAAGTTGTGCAATTGCACTTAATTCAACTCGATCACCTACAGGAGTAGATGTTGCATGACAATTGATATGTCCAATCTGAAAGTGAAATAAGAGAACAAAAATTTTGGTAAATACGACACGAATTCAAAAGTAGGGGTCAGATCTGTTTCAAATTTGATCTCACGGATTGACATCAGTTAGAGAGAATCATTGAAAACCAGTAGGGTGTACTGGACAGTTGTTTCATCCTACTAGTTTGAACACATTGAGCTGCAATCTACGAATGTTTGGCATGCGATTCACTCCCGCCAAATATAAGATGATGTTACAGGACTGGACTACATTGACTCATTCCTTGCTTAGAAATAGGGAGTGAAGTGGTAGAACGTTTTGACCGCTTCACTTCTTTGGGAAGTACCAATAGTTCCAACAGGTTGATCTCTGACGAAATCTCAGTACGGATACAGAGGGCTAGTTTCGCATATGCCAGTTTACGTCGTCTCTGGAGTAGACGTGATATCCGGCTATCGACCAAAGGGCTACGAGTTAGACCTGGCCATTGAGAGTGGAAGACATGAAAAGATTAGCTGTCTTCGATCATAAATGCCTGCGTTCTATCTCCCGTGTAAAGTGGTATAATAAGGTGAGCAATATTGAGGTTACGCCTCAGTCGAGTGCTAGGTAAGGAGGGGAAATCAATCGACGAGGCTGTGAAGTTACATCGATTGAAATGGTTAGGAAATGTGTTACGCATGTCTGCCTAGCCATCACCTTCCTCGACAACAAGCAATGTTAGCTGACATAGGGTCGGGCTGGAAAACAGATAGCGGCGGTCAAACCAAAACATGGCATCAGTCAATGAAATCCACAACAGTTAGTTTAAGCATGCCACGTAGGAACGTGTAGACTTCCTGGTTGAGGTCCTCGGGGTAGTAAAAACCAATGAAGGCTGAAAACAATTGGTGATATGGCTCAAAATCGTCCTCAATGACAGCGCACATGCATCCACTCCTTGTGACTTATGATTCCCAATGAAACTATATTGTTCTTCGTTATTACTATTCCTTTGTCTCACACCTCTGTTTACTGTCTCTATTATGTATTTCTTCTACTTTTTTCTCTTGCTTTGTGTGCTACATGAAGTGTGGCGACTTGAACTGCCGCACATCAGTGCAAAGTTCTATGTCGAAAACAGACAGTTTGGGAATCACTGACAGGGGGTTCAAGATCAGGACCTTCCGATTACAAGGCAAACTTCATTGACCATTCAGTCACATTGGAACCCAGTCTAATGACTCATGAATTCCAACTTCGTAATTTCAGCACGACCAACAACAGCCAATGTCATCCGCCTCGAGTATCTGTCTTCACTCCCGACCTGGTGGACTCCACTGATCACGACCTCTCACAAGAACTCCAGGTAACTCTGTCCTGTAGCTAGTCACTAGCGAGCATCAGATAGAATTTTCAGAGGATTGTTTGTAGGAATTTGGGTGAGTACTTCCGATGAGTCCCAAACCAGGGTGGAACAGATGTCCAGTATACTCTCAGTTGGTTTTCAATGGTTCTCTCTAACTGATATCAATATCCACGATCAAACTTGAAATAAGACACTGTTTTTCATTAGATATATGTTGGGAAGAAATTCAGGTGAATAACCCATCATTCTGAAATCCACTGCATTTCGGCAACGTAAATGTGCGTGAAGCACATCGTAAACGCTCATTTAGAACACAAATTTGATATATTATGAGCACCAAAAGATGTGCGATACAAAAATAATGAAACAACAACACATACAGAAAATTGGGATAGAATGAATGAATGATGCCTTTCAGAAAGCACAGAAGCAATCAATACTTGTCAAGATCATTTAACATTTATCAATTCACATAACCTTCAGAAAGGAAACAAAGAAGGAGATTGCAGCATTTTCGCCATTGATTGCAATTCTTCGCCATATCTGATGACATTTCGAGCAACCGATTCAAGCTACCTCTCGGATCCTAACCAGGAAATTGTGATAACTGATACTAACTTAACAGAAATATCCGTCATCCCACGCAGCCATTATCAAGGGCTGATCACCTTTTCACTTTTTCCATCCAGTCCTGGGGCTGGTGAACAGCGACCGTTATAGGAGTGTCTTTAGGATGACATCCGTAGTACATGTCCAAACGTATAGATATACAAGCACCAGTCACTGAATTACACAGACAAAATTTCGGTATTATATATTATTATTATTATTCAATCGGGTTCTAAGTGGAACATAGGGCTTCAACAACACATTTCCACTCTCTTCTATTTTCGGCTGTTCTCTCCAGCTGGCTGGCTTCAAGATTGCACATAGTCTCTATTGTCCTCCTCGCCACACGATCTCCTCCATGTCACCCTTGCATAGATGACCCACTCGTCGCTTCCCATTGGGATTTCACTTGAGCCATGGCCTGCACTGCGCGCGATGTCATTTGACGGCCTCCTCAACGTATACCCAATTCATTTTCTTCTACATATTTTTTGAGCAATCGGCTCCTGGTTGTTAGTTTGTTCCCAGCCAGAGTTTCTTTGTTGCTGGTTGGCCATTTGATCTTCAGTATGGAGTCAGCCAGCGAAGAGAGCAGTTGTTGATAAAAGTCTGTAATTTGTTGGAAATCCTTTTCGTGACTGACACACAGTGCAAGTTTCTGACCCGTATAGAAGAATTGATTGAGTTCACATTTGTGTTGAAAATTCGAATCCTGTTCTTCATGCTGGCTGAGTGAGTGCAGAAGATTTCCAAAGTGGTTTCGGGTTGATGAAGGCGTATCTTGCCTTTCCGATTATGACTTTGACATCTTCATCCGTTCCACCGGCCTGTAGCTGAAACGATACTCTCCCGTTGATGGTGACTAGTGATTTCGGTAACTAAGTCCAAAATATCAGATTCAAGAAACTGTAGACATCCTTACTGATATTCACGAACAAGCGTCTTCTTCAACGTTGGAGAAAAAAATCATTGTTTTATGTTTGGTTTAATACTGTAATTAAAGCTCTACACATACAGACTGTTTTTCCACTAATAAGTTCATACTTGAGATGAGAGAATTTTGAAGTATGAATAACTGAAACTTATGCTTTCTGGATAGTATTTACTCTGTTCCACAGAAACGAAGAAATTCAGATACTTCATAGACATTCAAAGTTTACGAAAACAACTAAAAACTTTTAAACAACCTCGGATCAAGGTTTGACTGTGTAGTTCCACAATTATTGGGTGCCGAACGATAAGTAGACATGTGTTTTAATAAAATCATACTTGTATAAATCTAAGACTTGTTGAGGCGAACAATGCCAACGCTTTGTTCGATAAACTGGCCCCAATTTGTTTCGGGAATAATAATCAAAATTAAAAGGTATACACACATAAATGTCAGCTGCATCGTCCCAACTAAAGATGACAGAACATACGAGGATGTCAAAACCAGCCAGAATCGGAAAGGCGAAACACACCTTCACCACTCTAACACTTGAATATCGATGAGATGCTCACTGGCGACTTGCCCTATTCAGGTAGGTAGTTACCTGGGGTTCTGGTGAGAAGTCGTGATCAGTAGGATGCAGCAGGTCGGGTGTGAGGACAAATACTCGCCAAAGACATTGACTAGCGGTCATGCTATGTTGTGAATTGGCAGAAGTTAGAATTCATGGGCGCTGGCCATTGGATCGGGTCCCAGTGGCCTGATGGTATACGAGCTCGCCAGCCTTGTAACCAGAAGGTCCTTTGTCCGAATCCTGACGCTGGGTGCGTACTGATGAAAGAGTCCCAAACTAGGCTGGCGAAACAGCTGTTCAATACTCCCTGCCGGTTTTCCAATGGTTCTTTAACCAATGTCAGCTCATGATGAAATCCTGTAACTCTAAAATCAGTTTGATAAAAATCTTCTGTAATCAGCTCAGCACAAACAACAAAATTCGGATTTTCAACAACAATGTCAAGTCAGTCACAGTTCTTCTGTATGTATGTGTCAGAAACTTGACGACGGTGTCACAACAAAGCATTTCGAGCAGGCTGCTTAAGACTTTTATCAATAGCTGCCTTCTTTGGCTCCACGCACTGAAGATTAGATGGCGAGTCAGAAACAATTAGCAAACAAGAAACTTTTGGGAATGAAGTAATGAAAAAAGCTATTGGTGGTCAATAAGTATTCAGAAGAGAATAAAGATGGATCAGACACACGGGGAGGAGATCGTTGGGTGACACATCGTGAACTAGGTAAAGCCCAGAGTGGAATGCAAATGGGAAACGATGAGTTGGGTGCGTGGAGCCGATGATGTTTTCTTCTACGAAAGCTCCATAGGAAAACAAAACTAGCTGACTCAGAGAATGAAACACAAGACAGGTAAACATTCGTACAAAAAAAATATGAACGTGACGGATCAATACGTAAGTACTGTTCATCTCACTGTGATACTATGTACGAAAAGATTCTGGAATACAATATCAGTAACTCCTCTAGTTAATTTATTCAGCATAATTTAACATTTTTTTTGCCTACGTCGCTACATAGGATAAGTGAACTGATGAGTGACTGACTGGTTTCGGTATAGAACTTCGTACAGAAGTGCACCAGCTCAACTTGCCACATTCCATGTAACACACAAAGGAAGACAAAACAGGGGGGAGAAGAAGATATGCAAAAGACGGAAGGAGAAACAACAGTAACATGGAGACAGAACGCAGATATCTGTGATCAAAGACAGCTAGCTAGTCTTCTAATATCTCCCGCTTTCTACGGCCTTGTCTCACAGCCGACCATTAAGGAGGACAGACAGAACTGCTGAGTACCGTCCTTTCATCGATAGACAGCCGGATATCACGTCTGCATCAAAGATCACGTAGTTTTGCACACATCACACCAGCTTTTTGTATCAGTGCTGAAATTTCGTCAGCGATCAGTTCATCGAGATTGATGGAACTTCGCATATTAATGAAGTAGTCAACACACTCTACTACTTCACTCCCTGTCTAACTTTAAGCTACAAGTGAGTCAATGTCACCCAGTCATGTAGCATCATCTTACATTTGACAGGAGCAAATCGTGTGCCAAAAATCCCAAGACTGCTGCTCTAGGTGTTCAGAAGACACTGTGTTTCATCAGCGTCCTCACACCTAAGAGGACTGCATCATTCGCATATTCTAAGTCAACAAGATTATCTCCTGGTGACAAGTCAATCTCTGGGTCGCTGAAGCCGCTTGGGGTCAATTCCATTAGTATATATATAATGAAATTAAATAGGAATGGGAACAGTGAGCACCCCTGACGGACACCACTGGTTATCATCATTTCAGATGACAACCCTCCATATGCTCTTAACTCTCTGCGTGAGTACCACTTGATAGAAATCAACTAGGCCGCTGTGTCATCAAAATTTATTTTTACTAAGTGATACAAACAGAAAGAAGTTAAGGCAACGTAAAAATTCTTGCCACATCCCTCAATAGGTGACACGACAAGTAGAATTAACGGAGGTCTTTCTCTCTCTCACTTCAAGGAAATCCCGATTTCTAGTGACTCGTCCATTTGAGCTTTCATAGAAACCAGTGTTCAGGGATCACAGTGACTGGAACAAGATATAGCTTTAACTTAGGGCTAGTTGAAGGAATATAAGTCTTGAAGTATTATTCTGGCTGAGAGATAACAATTAACTGAACATCACTAAAATCAGATAATTACTTTTCAATAAATAATTATGTTAATCATCATTAGGGTTCCTGGTGGAACATAGGACTTCAATAGCCCGTCACTATTTCGCCCTATTCTCTGTATTCCTTTTTAGCCGACACTACAACTACCTATAAAGCTCTCGTTTCCAACTCCCACAATCTATTCCATATATATCATCCTCGTCGTTTCCCATCCGCGTTCCACTTGAGGGCTTGGCACATGATATCACTCAACGATCTCCTCCTCAGTGTGGCCCCATCCATCTTCATTTCATTCGGTATATTTTTTGAGCAATAGGTTCCTGGTTGCTTCATTACCACAGTTCCCTGTTTTTAATTCTTTCCAACCCATCATTGGATCCTCAGTATGCAGCGAAGAAAACTGTCAATAAAGATCTGCATTAACCTGTTGGGAATGCTTTTTGGCGACGCGCATAATTAGACAATCTCTCACAACAATAAAACAATATTCAGGTTGCAGAATCGCATTAATTAGTTTAGTGTCATCTACCTTCATTTCCTATTGAAATGAAACATTTTTTTTTGTCATACATGCTGAATACATAAAGAAGAGTTGACGTTTAAATTACCCCTGCAAAATACTAACTTACCTGGTTTAGACTTTCAAGTTTTGAATCTTTGAAGGCATTCAACATGCTTCGAAATGCTCCATTACCAGTTGGTTCAGGTGCCACTAGATGATGAGCATCTCCTATCAACAAAAATAAATAAACAGATAAACACTTCGATAGAAATATTGTACAGTTTGTTAAAACTATGTGCAGATATTCAGCAAAATTTCAAAAAACTGATTGAAGATGGATGCTCATTCAAAGTCTAAAAGACTGATTAATTGAATAAAGGACATTCTTGACGATAAATTCGTCATGAGTATTCTACATTTTATATGACAGTAGTAATTAAAGAAATATTCTTATCAACAATAATAAAAATGCAGAAAGGAAGTAGTGGCCGTATAAAGAGTGCAATAATCGAACATCTCGTCACCACGGGTCATTCACTCCATCTCAACAAACGCCTCCTCCTTCAAAGTAATCTATAAAGTGAAGAATAACCTGCCAAAGATAATACGTTTCCGTCTTCTTCGCATTGCAGAAGCCCTAGCCATTCACAGTTAGAAGAACCAGAACTATGCATACAAAAGAAAATAATTCAACCACTTCTATTATCATGATAGCGACTCTACAACTCTGTTCATCTGGCTTAACTTTTGTTTGTTTTTTCTAACTACTTAAAACTCTTGCGTAATTCCGTATGCTATTTTGTTTCCATGTACACCCTAAGCACAACTCTTTCATCAAACTATTCATGTTATTACGTAACTATTCTTGAACAGTCGTTTGTGACAACTCATCACTTTTGTTACTACCCTCTTATATCAACATCCAATTCCTATGAATATTTTTTTGTACTACCTAAATCCACCCTAAACTTACTAATTGTATTTTTGTTCGACAAATTTAATGTACACCCACACATACAAAATAACTATATATATATATAAATATATATATATATATATATATACGATTGTACAGCTGTGAAAATAAATTCGCCGAAAAGAGACTCTTCGCTGAACTACTGGTCTTCTCTCTCTATTAATTTTCGAGTGGGGATTTTCCATGAATATTAATGTTGTTTTAAATTACATTGAGTTAATTGATATATGTGTAAAACTTGGGCATTGTGGTAGTAAGTAATTCCATATTAGTTTGTTTATTAGATGTATCACACAGTGAAACAGTATTAGTATTTACTGGATGACAAGGTTTCGAACAAAATTTATTATTGTTCATAATCATTTCATCAATTATAATCACACGACTTTGAAACTCGAGTTTTATAGTTTTCTTTGTCCTCCCCTATTTATCGTAGGGGTAGTAGAATTTTCCAGATATCTGGGACACGTGTTGAATCATTCCTATTCGATAAACAAAGCTTCTGTTATCAATCTCTCCCTCCACCCTGTGACATTAGATTTTAAAACTGTCATATTATCCCATCCTATTGTATGGTTGTGTGTGTAATTGCATGTAGTGAGTGGTATATCTGAACTGTTCTCCAGATTTCTTATCTTATTCGGGTCAACTAACCTAGATTTTGCTAGGTTTTTATGCTCGGCTAGTCTGACTGACTGCTCCTGTTCTACTACTTTGACCTGACAATCATTCCACCAGGGTATTAGATAATTAAATTGTCTTATTTTAAAGGCTCAACCGGATCTTTTAACCGACAAGGCTTGTTTCTAATTGAGTTTGTGGGTTTGAATGATAGCCACTTTTATTCCTGCCTGCCTTGTTAAGAATTCTGTGTAAGGTTTCCGAGGTTCCTTCCTTGTATGGAATTACTACTGATGATTTCGATTTCTTATTGTTGGTGTTGTCTTGCGCATTTTTGACATGCAGGTTGTCATTAATATTATTATCATTTTACATTTCCCTGCATACTTTCTGACTAATTTATCAGGGTAATTATTAAGTTTCAAGGCTTCTGTTACACGTCTCACTTCCTGTTTTAGATTTTCCTTAGTACTACTTGGTTTATGGGCTTTATTTCTTAAACATTTCACCAATCCTATTTTTACTGACATAGGATGGGATGATTGGAAATCCAAATATCTGTTTGAATGTGTGGGTTTCCTGTAAACACTAGTGTTTAACTTCCCATCTTCTTTCCTTTTTATGCTACAATCTAACATTGGAAGTTCCCCTTCCTGACTTTCCAATTCATAAGTGAATTGAATTGCCTCCACCTTTGAGTTAATGTGTTCGAAAAATCTAAGTACAATGAATGTGTCATCTACATACCTCCACCATACTTTTGGGGTGGGGCTGAACGTTTCAGTCGCTATGTTTTCCCACCCATCCATGAATATATCTGCCATAACCGGGGATATTAGTCACCCCAAATCAACTCCCTCAGTTTTTTTTTGTATATTTTCCCGTAGAATTCAAATACTGTGGAAGTAAGGCGTAACTGCACTCCTAGCATTATGTCCTAAAGATTATAAAACTCAAGTTTCGAAGTCATGTGATTATAATTGATATGATTATGAACCACAATAAATTGTGTTCGAAACTTTGTCATCCAGTAAATAATGCTGTTTCAGTGTGTGATATATCTAATAAACAAAACTAATATGGAATTACATTGCATCAACATGAGCGATAGGCGATTATATTTCAAAAGCATCAGACAGAGATAATATATTTGTGCTTGTTAACGCCTACACCAGTGTGGCTAAATAAATAAAGGTGTTGTTAAAACTATCAAACAGCTCGATATATTAGGATCACTGCATCCAAACACACCACAAGCGCTGAAGAATGCTTCTCTATCATCTATCGCGCGTATCGAATAAATTACCGAAGACCTGTAGATACAACAGAACACCCCAAAACAGCAGAGGCCAATTGCAATCCGCTTAAATCAATCGGAGACTTGCACATGCTAAAGAAACAGGTCCAGCCAGCCACTGTTGCTATTCTGTATTATTACTTCCCTTAATTCACCTGATATTCAGTCAGTCTGGTGTTATATGAATGCATATTATCCCTCTCTCCCTCTTACTGATGTTTGTGAAATGTAATCTATCGACGCTATTGATTCGATGTAATTTAAAACAGCATTAATGTTGCTACTAACAAGACTTCTTCAATTATTACTGTCATAGACATGTAGTAGCTGATGAAGGAAGGGTTATCGGAAGGAATTCGTTCTTTTCTCATTATTAATCAGTCTTTTAAATTTCAAAAATTCTTATGTAACTTAAATGGCCAACTCTATATAAATAAATAAGACTTGTAGTTTTATAGGTTAAAAACCAAGTTCACTTTTAACAGTTTGAAAAAATTTGGGCATTAGGTATATTCATTATTATTATAAAAGTTTTTGTATTTCCCGATGAATGAATGAAAAACAAAACGATATTGTTGTGTGTTTACTGACGTTTAGCTATTTAATGCTAATGTTGCTATGGGTTCACCAGTTTCCTCAATAGTCACTGATGTTTTTATGAATAGATTCGAAGATAACATCTTTTCAAGTAAACTCACGCCCTGAAATATGGTTGAAATACTTAGATGATACTTTTTGTAATGCTAAGACACGAGATCTACACAATTCATTCTTAGAGAAACTGACCAATCTATCTCCCAGCATCCAGTTTGCTTCTGAAGCAGAATCAGACATCATTGAACTACCATTTCTAGACTATCTAGTTAAGAGGAGGGAAAACGGATATTTTAGTATATCTATCTATATACAGGAAGAAAACCTACTCCAACAAATATTTAGACTTCAGGTCGTCACATCTCATCAGCGCAAAGGTATCAGTTGTTTCAAATCTTCTTAGACGAGTACACTCTTTGATAACGAATAAGAAGGAAAAAGAAGAAGAAATATCAAACATTACTGAGACTCTCAAGCAAAATAACTACCCAAAGAACTTCATCAACAAAATCAACACCGACATTAAATATGGTCGGAAACGCATTCCGAAGACATTCACCTCAACAGTTGTCATCCCATATAGATCAGAAACGTCAGATGATATCACAAGAGTACTCATTAAGCACATCAGAGTTTTCTCCAAAAAATAAGACACACTACAAATCAACCTTGCCCACGTAAAAGATAAAATTCCTAAGGGTTTTCAATCTAATTGTGTCTAAAAAATAAAATGCTTGGAATGTGATGCATCGGACAAACATCACGAGAAATCAAAATCGGAATAAATGAACACAGTGGAGCCGCATCTGTTCGACCACCGAGAAATCCAGTTGAACTAGAAAAGCTTTAAAAATCATCAGCCAGCCATAGATCTACACGCTCTAGAATCAGGCCACAAAATTGATTTTGACAATATTAAAGTATTCCAGAAAAATTTCAGAAATCACAAAGAACATCTAATATCAGAAGCACTTCATATCAAATGGAATCCAGATTGCCTGAATAGGAATAATGGACTAAAACAGAATTTGACCTGGTTACAACACCCCCCCCCTCCCTCATGAAATGACAAAATCAACACGAATGTGATAAGCAATTTCATTATTTATTAAACACACGCTATCAATCAACTTCCACGGTGTGGGTAGCCGGGAAGTAACAACCACCCACACACTTCCAAAAGCACAGGAAGCCTTCCCGAGTATCATTCTCAAACACACGCTACTTTTATAATTTTATACATTTATCAAATCCAATAATCTACACTTGGTTTTGTTATCTTTATCAATTGGCCAACTTGACAACGCAAAAATTACTTTATGCTGATGAACGATGTTATATATATAAGCTGAGATTTTGTAAATTCTGGTTCAATAATATTTTGATAAGGCTATTAGCGGCAGCATTAAATAGCGAAGCGTCAGTAAAAGCAACGATATCGTTTTGTTTCTCATTCATTGGGAAATACAAAAACTTTTATAAGATTTGTAGTTTGTGCGAACACACAAAACTCCTGTTCGCATAACTTTAGCCAATAATATGAAAGAATGATAGGCTAATCAAGGACTATAATACTGCATTGAATTCCTCCCTTGCTTGACAGAAGATGTAGAAGTCTACGTAAATATAAGTTACAAAACACAATTCTATGAATTTATTTATAGAGTCTCACAGTGTTATACAGTAATATTTACTGATGACGTTTCGACCACAATTTATTGCTCATAATCATACCTTGATATCATTATGAGCAATAAATTGTGGTCGAAACGTCATCAGTAAATATTACTGTATAACACTGTGAGACTCTATCAAAATAAAAATTTACCCATAATGGAATTACACTCTACCACAGTGCACAAGTTGTATTCTTATATCAACTCTACACTTACGTAGAAATCAGCATAAAAAGGGAATTCGAAACATGATAAGAAGACGAAGCACATGAATTAATAAGAACGTTTAAAAACTAAAAAAGTAAGCCAGTGATCAAGCTCCTGTATCATTTTGTAAAAGAAGAAAAATGTTAAATTGGTGGATGGTGACTAGCAGTGGAATCCAGGATAACGTGCATTTCGTCCTATCTGGGACTCGTCAACTAGTGGATATCCCTGCATTCCCCAGTGAGTGATGGTGTCCCCATTGAGGCTCGAACCCAGTGCCCATAGTTTCAAACGCCAAAGCGTTACCATCCACTAGACCACTTGGGCCACGGACAGCCACCTCTTGTGCAAGAGGTATTAGTGATTATTTAACTCCATTTGGACTTTCCCGTTGATTGATTGGACCGGAGTGTTCGGCCTCCGGTTGACGAAATGCGCATCCTGGATTCCACTGATAGCCACCATCCACCAGTTTACTTCGTCGAAGCATCGGCGCAAAGAGGCGACACGTCAACCTGATAATGCTAAGCACTTCGGTCCATTTAATCAATTGGAGAATCCGAATTGAATTAAATGAAGAAAAATGTTGTTTGTTTGGTTTTATTTAAGCCTCATCCAGTAAGTAAAGTGACTGAGACACGTGATGATACTTATTAACTTTCTCAAAAGGCAGTGTCGAGTGAAGTAGCATGAAATTGAGTGTGAGAATAATTACTCATTAAGAAACATGTGTGTCGGTGTGGAATTATATCGCAAACAGATATGAATGAATGAATGAATAAACTAACTGGTTTCAACGTAGAACTTTGCAAAGATGTGCAGCACTTCTAGTTGCCACACTCCCTCCATGTAGCACACAAAGCACCAGAAGAGAGTATAGAGAGACTCAAAAGAGATGTAAGGCAGAAAGCATAGTAATAGGCAAGAACAATAGATTCTCGTTGGATGTGAAAAATCACAAACAGTGAATGGATGCATGTGAGCCATCATTGAGAACGAGAATTTGAAGCCATATCACCAATAGTCTCCAGCCTTCATTGGTTCTTACCATACCATCCCGAGGACACCAACCAGTCAGGAAGTTTACAACTCCCTAAGTGGCTAACTTAATAACTGTTGTGGATTTCATTGACTGGTGAAGCCATATGTTTTGGTTTGACCACCACTAGCTCTTTTCCAACCTGATCCATCCTATGTCAGCTAACATAGATTGTCGAGGAAGGGGATGGCTAGGCAGACATGCGTAGCACATGTCCTAACCATCTCAATCGATGTAAATTCACAACTTCGTCAATTGATTTCCTCTCCTTACCTGGCACACAACTGAAGCCTAACCTCAATATTGCTTACCTTATTATAATGCCTAACACGGGATATAGAACGCAGACATCTATGATGAAAGACAGCTGGCCAGGTTTTTGAAGTCTTCCACTTTCAATGGCCATGTCTCATAGACGTAGCGGACTGCTGAGCAGTACACACACATCTTTTGATCGATAGTCGGATGTGAGCTGAAAGTCAACAACCATTGAATTCTGACTCACTGAACGAAGTTTAGCTTACCAACTTCGTGACTTAACAAGCCCTGAACCCAATGCTTCACCTGATCGCAAGTGCACGTGCACTTCTGAAGTCTTCAAAAATGAGACACAGCAATTATCTACTTTTTCGATACATACAGAAATCTGCTTTAGAGTGAGTACAGTCCTTACGCCATATATTCGTAAACTAAGTCTTTATGTGAGTGCATCAGAAATCCATTTAAACACGTACTATTTTTTAGAAAGCAGAATTCGTTGAATAAAACACAACTATTTGAGTTTGTCTGTCTGTTTTCGACATAGAACTTTGCACCGATATGCAGCAGTTCAAGTCGCCACTCTCCCTCCATGTAGCACACAAAGCAACAGAAGAAAGTGAAAAGAAATGCATAATAGAGACAGTAAACAGAAGTGTGAGACAAAGGAATAGTAATAACGAAGAACAATATAGTTTCATTGGGAATCATAAGTCACAAGGAGTGGATGCATATGCACCAGCCAGCCATTGAGAACGATTTTGAGCCATATCACCAATTGTTTCCAGCCTTCATTGGTTTTTACCGTCCCGAGGACCCCAACCAGTCAGGAACTCTACAGCTTCCTACGTGGCTTAAACTAACTGTTGTGGATTTCAATGACTGACACCATGTTTTCGTTTGACCGCCGCTAGCTCTTTTCCAGCCTGACCCTATATCAGCTAAAATTGCCTGTTGTCGAGGAAGGCGATGGCTAGGCAGGCATGCGTAATACATTTCGTAACCATCTCACTCGATGTAACTTCACAGCCTCGTCGATTGATTTCCCCTCCTCGACGCCTAACCTCAATATTGCTCACCTTATTATACCACTTCACACGGGAAATAGAGCGCAGGCACCTATGATCAAAGACAGCTAATCTTTTCATGTCTTCCACTCTCAATGGCCAGGTCTCACAGCGTCATAAAGGAGGATGGAGCGGACTGCTGAGCAGTACACCCGCCCTTTGGTCGATAGCCAGCCGGATATCACGTCTACGCCAGAGACGGCGTAAACTGGCATATGCGAAACTAGCCCTCTGTATCCGTACTGAGATTTCGTCAGAGATCAACTATTTGAGTAATTAAGGTACAAACCATTTTAGAGATACTTACAACTCATGACACTTTCTATCCATCCATTGAGGTGAATTTCGCTCCAGTTTATGGAGAAATGAGCTAAAATAATGCTACAAAGTTGAAGGACACACTAAATGAATGAAGAATAATAAAATTCTCCATGAAACGATTAAAAATCTGATGAAAACCACCACGTGTTTGTTATAGAGGAACTATTTATTTGGCGGGTATTCGTTGGTCCATGAAAGATCAGTAATAAAGAAAACTTACCAGATCTTCCAAAACCAATGATTTCAGCAATCGGTGTAGGCGGTTCATCAAATGATTCTCGTAAGAAATCATCTGGAGGAGGCCAAGCTTGTAGAACAACTGCAGCTGCACCTTCAGATAATACAAATCCTTTACGTTGTGAGTCAAAAGGACGGGAGGCTTGTTCAGGAGTATCATTGAACTGTGTACACAGAGCGCGAAGACGAGAAAAAGCCGCCATTGTCCATGGATTTAAAGGCGCTTCACATGCACCAGCAACAACCAAATCTGCTTCATTATTTTGAACTAGTTGGGTAGAAAAGTAAACGCATCCGCAGGATTTAATTTCAAAATCATAAATCTTAGAATGAACAACATTAGAGTTCAGTTAACAGTTTTATTAGATTGAAAAACTATATTTAAGTTTCCAGTAAAGAGTACAATGACAATAACAACAGATAGTAGTGTCTAATATGCAAAATACAAATATTTCCTACTATTCGTTCTATGCTTTATCTTCTCTAAGGCATTTCACAACCACCAACAGACACAGAACAACTGTCAGTGGACAATAATCCTCCAACAAAAACAGAAGTATTGAATGCAATCAAGCTACTGAAAGCCAGCCGGGAAGGGGGCAGGACCGGACATAATTCCTCCTGAAGCACTGAAAACGGATTCAGAAACCGCAGCGGATATGCTGACACTACAACTTCAAAACACGTTTGGAAGGAAGAAAAGGTACCTACTGGTTGGAAGAAAGGCTTTCTTGTTAAACTAACAAAGAAGGGCGACGAAGTTAGGCCTCTGCAAGAACTGGTGCGGAATCATGCTCTTGTCCACGCCAAGCAAAATTTTTAGTTGCATCATCCTGTAGAGACTAAAAGATGCACTGGATGCAAAACTGGAACCCGAACAAACAAGCTGCAACGCTACGCATCATCATCACCAAACAGAGTGGAAGTAAAATCTCTAATTCAACATCATCTACTTTAAAAAAGCTTTCGATAGCGTTGGCTGTGAAGTAATTTGGAAACTGCTTCAGCACTATGGAGTGCCACAAATTTTTATCAACCTCATTCAACAGCTATATGACAATACCACGTGTCAAGTGATTCCCACAGTGGAAAACTCAGTGAAGCCTCTGAAGCGAATACAGGAGAAAGATGAGGAAGGCTCCCTACTATCACCGATGATATTCCTAATTGTGGGCGAACTGGATTATGCAGCAAATCGTGAATGGGGAACGAGAAGACAGGAATTTGTTGGACTGATAAAAAGACACTAGAAGACCTGGACTTCGAGGACGATTTATGTCTAGTGTCACATAAAGTCGAAGAATTAAAGGTGAAAAGCAACAAATTGGCCGAAGAAGCAGCAACAACAGAACTCCAGGTGGTTCTCTAACTGATGTCAGCTCATGATGAAATCCTCCATGAAAATAGAGAAGACGGGGGTGATGAAGATAACCACAGACCCCCTATCAATGAAAGAAGTTTGAAAGACGCCACATGTTTCACTTATCTCGGTAGCATCATTTCAAATGCAGGCGGCATAACGGATGAGGTTGTCAAAACCAGAATCGGAGAGGCAAGACAGGCCTTCATTACCCTGAAATCAGCAGGGAAATCTTTTTCTCTCAGCATAAAGATTCGCATTCTCTATACCAATGTTAGTGCAATCAGTTCTTCTATATTGGGTGAGCAACTTGGACGTTCACACTTGAATACTGTTCAGGAGTCACAGTATTTTCTAAACTCCTCGAAGGAAAATAACCCATTCAACTTTCAATTTTAGCTAGCTAACTAAATCAACATGCATGATCTTCAATGATTCTTGAGATTTCAATGCAACGCGTGATAAACTCCGATTCCCCAATAGCCCTGTAGAAATGCAATCATATGTATAAGATAGCATTAAAGATTTTAATGTCTCATTAGATGTGATTTTGCTATTTACCAATGTACCCCTCATAGAAATTCTTTGCTATTTATGTGATTATATTGATACGCATAGTTTAGAAATAGGGTTGCCGACAATCCACCTCAAAGAACTTTTATTGAGATGCACGTTGAATGTTCAGTTCACCTTCAATAATGAGATTTTTAGACAGAGAGATGGCATTGCGATGGGATCACCACTGGGTCCCCTGTTGGCTGATTGTTTTATGGCAAAGCTTGAAAACTCTCAACTTAGTCAAACCATCGATCATTTCGAAATTTATAGAAGATACGTAGACGACACTTTCGTTATCTGCGATAATAACGTAATTCTTGATGATGTCTTGTTTGCTTTCAACAACTGCCATCCTTCTTTACAATTCACCATAGAAAAGGAATCTGAACTACGTATTCCGTTTCTTGATGTGTGCCTTAGTAGACGTAATGACGGATCTCTCAAAAGATCTATCCACAGGAAACGTACATGGAACGGACAACTAACTAATTTTTATAGTTGGGTGCCTATCTCCAGGAAAAGGAACCTAATTCATTCACTCTGCTTTAGGATAAGAAACATTTTTAGTTCTGATTGCATTGACTCAGAACTTGACTTCCTAAAAGCCACGCTCGCAGAAAACGGTTACCCTAACCGATTTATTGACAGTAACATGAAAGATAAGCAGTCTAAACTGGTCACCGACTCAGTTCCAAAGAAAACCTTATTCATGAACTTGGAATTCAAAGGTGATCAAGCTTCAGATATGCTCAAAAATCGTCTCTCTAAATCAGTCAGTAAGACGTTCTTTGCAGCAAAATTACAAATGACGTTCACCAGCCACAAGTTGTTCTCTATCTCTGTAAAAGATAAGCTCCCCCGTCTGGCCGCCTCCATGTGCATCTATCAGTTCACCTGCTCTTGTGGAGCAAGGTACATTGGCCGTAGCCAGAGAACGCTTCCCACACGGATACGAGAACATATTCCAGCATGGTTTTACAAGGGAGAAAGGAAGTGTGTGCGAAGCTCTATTCTAGAACACTTGATCGATTCCTGTCACTCTACCAACCCTGATCATGATTTTAAGATCATCTACCGAATCCATGCTAACTTGCCACGTTTTCTTCGTCACAGACTTCTAAAGACAGTAGAGGCCTTGACCATTCATGAATTTAAGCCAGACCTTTGTGTATAAAAGAGGTATGTACAATCCCTACTTCTGCCTTGGCCGAAGAGGGATAGACATTTATTTATTTATTTTGTTTATTTAGTTAATCTATGTACCTTTCCCTCATTACTATTATTATCATTATTATTATTACTATTCTCACTCTGAATTGTTTCCACTTGTCCCACTTGTCATTTTAAACCCAAAATTATTAATTTTTATTTTTACAATATTGAATTCTATCTTATCAAATTTCACACCATGTTATGTAACATTTTATATTCGCCTACTAATCCTATAATTATGTACCCCTTTCCAAAATCTATACACCTTATGTATTATTCTATATATGACATTGATTGTTTTGCTACTTGACATTTAACTATGATTATAATCACAAATATTTTAATTGCATTTCATACTATTATCAATATCTCATGTATTCACACCTTTGATCTAATTCCCTCACCGGATATAATTTCTTATGTGTGTTATGTGATGAGAAAACTGTTAGGTATGACACGATCAACTTACTGCGGCACTCTAACAAATAGTTTCCATTAGCTTTTGTTCTCCTTTCTTTGTTACTATTATATTGTTGCTCACATATTCTATTACACACTAATTTTATATTTCATATCCTGTGGTGCATTGTTCAAATATGTGAATGCAATGCCGTTCTTTTTTATTTCTTTTTTTTCTCTTTTTTTCTTTTTGTTGTTGTTGCTTTTATTTTTAAGATCTTATAAAAAATTTATGAGGTAATTAGATGCAATATTGTAATGCACGCTGAAAATTCCATACCTGTACCACAAATACTGTTTTGAATAAAGCTATTATTATTATATATACGATTGTACACCTTGATAATGAATTCGTTGAAAAGAGTCTCTTCGTTGAATATTGTATTCTTAATGCTACAATGGGAATTATTAAGTTATATGTATAAGTCCCTTAAAAACTAATCTTAGTCACTTTAACAATATATAACCTAGAAGGTTCTGTATATTGAAATTTTGAACGCCAAAAGTTAGATAATTTATGCATTTCTGAAATATTTTAGTTTCAGTATTCTTAGCTCAACTAACATATCATGAATAATCGTTAATTTTCAAGTTTTCCGCTATCAACAGAAATGACTAGTGTGCAAGCAGGGTGAACGACTACAAAAATAAAATAAAATATAAGGCTCATTAAACGACAATAAAACTATTGTAAATCAAGAAAAAATTATTCAGAAGTGCTTACTCATACGAAAAGCCTCACCGATACAGTGAAGGCCAGCAGCACATGCAGTATTTGTAGCCATGCATGGTCCTCGTAGCCCCCAAATTCGGCTTATCACACCAGCGGGAATATTACTCAATGTTCTAGTCAAAGCGTGTGGTCCAACTCCAGAATACTTTTTGGTTAGAATTCCTGATGCTGTATCTATAACTTCACTTGGACCATCCATTCCAACTCCAAAGTATACGCCTAAAATCATACGACATCGGTATTTGCAATTAGAACAATAAGCATGCATTGCATTCAATGTTAAGGAAAATTACAACAGAGTTGAGATTGAGCCACGTCTACTTTGCGAGAGTAAATGGTACTACCTAGGTACTCAAACCTCAATGGGTGAAGAAGCGCTCAAACCCGCGACCGAGTGGTTGGAAGTCTAGTGTCTAGACCAATGAACCACATCTTTACAATATTTTTTACATAGAGGAGCATTCAGCTGTGTCATGACTGACTGGTTCCAACATAGAATTTGGCACAGAAGTGTACAAGTTCAACTCGCCACACTCCATGATGCAGCATACAAACGTAGACAAAAGAGAAAAAAGAGATCCGAAACAACAATAATAATCAGAAATATGCGGGAGAAACAATAGTAACATGGAGATAGAACGCAGATATCTGTGAACAAAGACAGCTAGTCTTCTCATATCTTCCACTTTCAACGACCACGTCTCATAGCCGGCCATTAAAGAGGACAGTCTGGATTCAACATAGAACTTGGCACCGAAGTGCACCAGTTCGAGTTGCCACGTTCCAAATAGCACACAAAGGTAGACAAGAAGATGAGTGAAGAGAATCAATAGAGTTTTGACAAGTATAAGAGTGAAACAGAATGAGTAATGGTAGAAACGAATATGAAGGATTACAGAGACTGAATACATCTGCGTAAGCCATTGACAACGACTTTGAGCCATGTCACCTATTGTCTCCAGCCATTGACTCTTAGAGTCTCGAGGGCCCCAACCCGGAAGTCTGCATCTCCCTACCTGACTCAGTTTAATTGTCAGGGATTTCATGGATTGATTGATGCCATGTTTTTGTTTGGCCACCACTTACTCTTTTCCAACCTGCACCTATATCAGCTAGTAATGCCCGTCGGGGGAGGCGATGGTTAGGCATGCGCAGCACGTGACCTAACCATCTCAACCTATGTAACTTCATAACCTCTTCGATTGATTTTCCCTCTTTGCCCAACACTACGCCTAACGTCAACATTACTTACCCTATTATACCACCTAACGTGAGAAAGAGATCGTAAACATCTATGATCAAAAGCAGTCAACCTTTTCATGTCTTCAACTCGTATTGGCCATGTTTCAGAGCCATAGAGAAGGACGGAGAGAACTGCTGAGCAGTATACACGTCCCTTGGTTGATAGCCGGATGTCACGCCTATGCCAGAGATGGCGTAAGTTAGCGAAAGCAGCTCGAGCTGTTTGGATCCAAGCTGAGATTTCCTCGCCAATCAGTCCGTTGGCGCTGATACAACTTCCCAAAGAGGTGAAGTGGTCAACATGTTCTATCACTTCACTCCCTATCACTAAGCTAGGAGTTGACGTAGTCCAGTCCTGTAGCAGCATCTTACATTTTACAGGGGCGAATATTTGAGTGAAATAAGAATTAACTTGATTGAAATAAAAAATTGTCAGTAAATACACTGAAGCTGAGTCACAGGCAATCCAGTGTAACACAGCAGATTTTAAACACTCAGTTAACGAGAATAATTCAACCGAATACATAACTGATGCTTCAGGTGAAGAAAGATACCACACCATCCATTTTGAATCTTCAACAAAATCTCAAAGAAAAGAAAATGAAGAAATTAATCTGCTATTTTTTTTCTAAATGTCACTATTGAAAAGTTTCTGTTCAAATATGCGGTAAGTTTTACCCTAAAAGAGACAACACACTGTTGAATACATTACCAAAAACCAATGACCAGACGAAAAGCCTGAATTGGAGCAAAAACTAGAATTATACACACTAGGAGAAATAAGACGACTACCTTAAAATATTTTATCGGACTGTGGATACCCCTCAAGGATGTTACCGCACTAAAATATCACGTTCTTAAAGCACCAAAATTGGAGGAAGAATGACTTAATCAAGCATACTGGCTAAAAGAGGCATTTTGGGAATACTTAGCCGTATAAAATCCAACTTTAATATGCCCGAACAGTGTAATGTGTAATCTGCCAGATCCACTGAATCCTGATGTTCTTCCCTATGTTGCTGTTCTTTCTCCCGTAAATTTCTGCTTATTATATTTATTTATTCAAAAAACGCATATCCTGGTACAATATGGCATCAAGAAGATGCGTCACACAATAATAATAAAACAACATATACGGAAAAAATAGGTAGAGAATGAATAAAAGACTCCATCACGACACCACGTCATGGGCTGACAACCTCTCCACTTATTCCATCCTGTCCCGGGGCTAGCGAACACAGTCCGGTATGGAAGCCTCTGGGATGACATTCGTAGCAAATGTCCAAGCCACCGGAGTTTCCGGATGACGACACTCAATGAATGGTGATCTCCACTTTGTCCAAATACACGCCATCGGATCTCAGAATTACTCACATGATAGTGCAATCGAACGCAAGCAATTCTACGGAGACAGCGATGATTGAATACGCAGAGTCGCCAAGCATCCTCAGCTCAGAGAGGCCAAGTTTCGCAATTGTAGAGCAAGACAGCACGCACCGAAGCATTCTGTTCCCGACCTTTGACAGCCAGGCCAACGTTGGAATGGCGCCAGAGGTGACTCAATTTGACGCATACCACCCCTAGCTCTCATGATACGGTTGGAAATCTCGTCCATCACACCTCCGCCAGCAGTCGTACAACTACCCAGATACACGAACTTATCAACAACTTCAAGCGGTCCACATGCAAGAGTGAGTGCAGGTACAGGCTCCTGCCAATCTTTTAACAGTACCTTGTACTAAGACGGTGCAAAGCACATACCACGCTTACAGATACTGATCGCCAACTGATTAAGTGCGATTTGGGCAGCCTGCATGTTATCACACAGTAATATGATATCGTCTGCATACTCGAGGTCGAAAAGTCTTTCTCCAGGAAGCAAATTTACACCACAGACACTCCTTCAGAGGTGAATGTCATCGATAGTAAGGTTAAAGAGAAATAGAGATCTGCTCATTATGGCTTTTTGGATTTTATTTTTCTTCTTCCGCCTGCCTTTGTATGTTACAAGGAACTGCTGCACTTCTGTGCAAAGTTCTACGCTGAAACTCAATCTGTAGTACAGATATACATAGTTTAGTAAACACCATCGTCTGATATTGGTGAGTAAATACGATCCCCAACAATTCTCAGCAGACATCAACAAGACAGTGTAATAAAGAATACAGTTTAACACAAGAAAGTCCTTAGGCGTTATCGTTGCTTCAAAGCACACCTACAAATTTTCCAAAACGATTTCCTGTATGCACATTTAGTGACAATTACACACTGTTCACCAAAAACAAAAAAATTGATACATATTCTCATGAAAGAACTAATAACATACCTGCTCGATAGCCTGAGTTCATTTTCCACTTTACTTGTCTAAAAGCTTCATGAGTTGCTATAACACCTAAAGCACTAGCACGTGATATCGACTTCCAATCACTAGAAATGTCTACTTTCCAAGTTTCTTTCAGTGAAGAGTTCACAAGACATTTCTGTTCTTCAAAATCACGATCAGTAATTATTCCAGCCACACGACTAGGCAAGAAAGAAAATCCATCTATGATTCATGAAATAGCACATCAAGCTACCATGTGTTTTAGATATTCCACAAAAACCGTTTATCAGATTTGTCCAGAAATCAGGTACACCACAACCTATAGGTGTACAAACTCCCACACCAGTTATCGCTACTCGTCGAACACCAACCATTTGGTTAAAAAGTAGCTAAAAATGTGAAAAGGTAAACCGTTAGGGCAGTGAACAGTTACTATTAATGCATATAACACTGAAATGAAGGGACTTAGAGATTGTTTCAACTTTATATGAGCTGATATCAAGAAATTGGAACTGAGTGAATTGTCTCAGGAAAAGTAAACTAATCGAAATCGACTAGGGGAAATGTAAAATGAAAAATATCACCATATTGCAGACTTTCTCAGTCACATATTCACACCTACATCTGATAGCTGTTCCTTTCAAAAGACAACAGACAAGAAGTCGAAATCCATGGGCCATTGAATCGGGTCCCAGTGACTCAATGGTCTACGAGCTCACTTTGTAACCGGAAAGTCCTGGGTCCAAACCCTGGCGATGGGTGCATAATGATGGAGAGTCTCAAACTAGGCTAATGGAACAGCTGTTCAGTACTCCCAGGTCTTCCAATGGTTCTCTAACCAATGTCAGCTAATGAAGTCCTGTAAACAACGAAAACTATGCGTAAAAGGATGTTGGCTTTAAAAAACTGATCTAGGGATAAAAAGAAACTTTCGTAAACCTGAACCAAAATATGGAAGCAAAAGCCATGTATCACATGTAGGAAGATAAAAGACAGGAAAAAAATACATATTCAAAACAACGATAATAAGCAGAAATGGGAGGGAGGAATACTGAAATTGAAAAACATGAGGATTTAATCGATATTGGAGATCACAAACAGTCAATGCATCTACACCATTGAGAACGATTTCAAACCATATCACCAACTGTCTCCAGTCACTGATTCTCAACACACCGAAGACCCTAACCAGGAAGCCCACACCTTTCCAAACGTGATTGGTCCAAACTAACTGTCGCAGATTTCAGACTGACTCAATGTTTTGGTTTGAACAGTACTAGCTCTTTTCCAGTCTGATCCTACCATCTCCCGTCGAAGCCTAACCTGAATGTTGCTCACCCTATTATACTACCCCCTATCACAGGAGATAGAATGCAGGCACCGGTGGTCAAAGACAGCTAGACTTTTCATCATATCTCCCAATTTCAATGGCCAAATCTCGCAGCCATACAGGAGGATGCGGTGAATTGCTCAGCGGTACACACACGTCCTCTAGTCGATAGCCAGCCGAATATCACGTTTACGACAGAGAAGGCGTCAGTTGACAAGTGTACGTGATAATATGCACATATATGATGCTTAATTGAATATCAGTTAAAAATAAGAATGTCTGTTTTCGACATAGAAATTTGCACATATGTGCGGCAGTACAAGTCGCCACTCTCCCTCCATGTAGCACACAAAGGAAGAGAAGAAAGTAGAAGGAATGCATAATATAGAGAGTAAACAGAGGTATGAGACAAAGGTATAGTAATAACGAGGAACAAAACAGTTTCATTGGAAATCATAAGTCACAAGGAGTGGATGCATCTGCGCTGTCATTGAGAACGATTTTGAGCCATGTCACCAATTGTTTTTACCGTCCCGAGGACCCCAACCAGGAAGTCTACACCTTCCTACATGGCTTAGACCAACGTAGGAAGAATAAAATACAACAATTAAAAATAGCTACAACAATAGTACTTTGCTCAATATTCTTTTCTAAATATCAATATGGGGAATTCTTATATTTCTTTAATTCACAATAGATCACATCAATAAAATATTATGAGGTAAGTTGGACATGAAAAAAATGAAATGACTTCACAAAGATGACTGGTTAAATAACTCATACAACTCCAATACTGAGTCTTCGGGATGCCCATTCAATCCGAGAGCCTTCTCATTTCCCAATACATACCTCTAAACACATAACCTAAGATGAGGCACACTTGTTGGTTATATAACTTTTCAGAAGTGACAAGACATAAAATTTCTGCTGAAACTCAAGTGATTTCTTACAATGTCATACACCTAAACAGTATGACAATTGTTCTGTAAGTCTGCGATAAAACTTCAGTTTGGTGATTTCTGTTTAAATTTAATTTAACTCTAACAACACCATCTAGTATAAGAGCAGTATTTCCTCAGCGCCAGCCGTACTTACGTCAGTTGTTGTCGCCATTTCCGAACTTAACTCACTTATTTTTTCCAGACTACATTTTGCCTTCTTAGCTATTCGTAATGTTTGATCTAACTGCTAGATTATTGCACTTGATAAGAGAAACACCACACCATTTAAGTGTTTCTGGAGAGTACTGTCACCTTTCTGTTCCCAGATGGGAATAGAAGTGTTACAGCCCAATATGAATATGTATCTAAAATAGGAACCCTATTGTTGTTTCTTTCGTGCTTACATGCTGTCACTCCTGAAGTGTTACCAAACATATGGAACGACTGTTCCATGAAATGATCAAGTCAACTTTAAGCTTATATTACTTATCTCGCCCACTATTTAACGAACCACATATTCAGATACTCAATTCGTTATCATAACGTTATTATTCATTATCGTAGCGCTACCTGGCCTTATTCTTTTACTCAAGCAAAAAGGCTCTCACTTAACCACACGGTCACCACCTAACGTGCCCATCTATAACTTCCACATTCTTTTGCATACTGGTTTGAATTCTGACTACACTCTAATATGTGCTAAGTGATCATATATGTCGTCCTTAACATGATGATGTGAACAAAATGTTCGCACTTTCTAACCTGTCAAGTTATAACTTTGCACAAAATTAAAAAAGTTCAACAAAGCATGCATAAAATTGAAAACAAGTGTAATTCAGATGCCATGGAGAATGATGACTGGTAGAGAGAATTAAATGAAGACTATAGAGGATTCTCAAGATCTAGTTGTTGGCAAGGAATGCATACATCTGCGTCACAGTAAATGATTTTTAGCTAAGCCACTGTCCCCTACCATTGCTTGCCGCAATCTTCAGACAGACAATCTACACTTCCTTACGTGCCTCAAACCAGTGGTCAAAGACCTAATGGATAAGTGCAACGTTTTAGTATGACAACTTTTTTTAACCTAATCTTGTTCCAGACAAGATTTCTTGTCGCGGGTAGCTGTGACTCGGCAGGCGTTACATGCCCTAATCAACTCAACCACTAATGCTTCACAACTATGACGGTAGACTTAGTCAACTTTTTACCCCTAACCCGACTACTCCGAACCATATCGCCCCACCTGTCATGAAAGGGAGTACCAATGGTTGAAAACTGCTAAATATTTAAAATCCACTTTATTTCAGTCTTGAAGTAGCACAGAGAGAACTGCTGCACGGTAAATACGTCCTCTGACAGACAACTGAATATCACGCTTGAGTCAACGATGACACAGGTTGGCGAATGGTAAGGCAGACTTTTGTTACAAACCGACTCCAAGCAACTGAAGTGGTCAGAGCACTCAGTCATCCTTAAACTATTACTCACTGCAGACAAATCTTGCAGCATTACCCTAACACTGGCGGCGACGAACTGCATACTAAACCTGATATGATTATAAGCAATAAATTGTGCTCGAAACGTTATCAGTAAATATTACTGTATAACACTGGGTGACTTTATCGAAATAAAATTTTATCTATAATGGAATTATACTGCAGCACAGTGCCCAAGTTTTATCCTTGTATGCTAAACCTACTTAGATTCTGTCTTGAAGGGCTCAAAAGGCTTTGTCTACAGACTCTAAATCAAAGAAAACCTTCCGCTGGTGATACCTCAATCTATGGAAGACCGAATTCAACAGTGATATTTCACAATCAAACTTTACCAAAGCCTCCATCGACCAACAAAGTTGACAACTGACTAAAGGCGAAAACGTATGGCAAGTGATGGACAGTGTTAAGTATACCTGTATTCTATGACTTGTCAGTATGTAAAAGTTTGATTAATGCACTCTTGCCTGGATGTGAAACCGGTATGGTTTTCACCAGTTTGTTTTATCGGGCAACATTTGACTTTCATAAACCACAGAACCTACAATATTTAATATCATATTGAGAAAACGAATCCCTTGTAAATTGGAATAATCAACAGTATGCAGTAATTTGAAGCAACTATCATACACGCCTGCACAGTAGTTACTACTTGACTAACTCTAGTAACAATTCATCACAGTCAATGATATCCCTGTTGTTCTGCATCGCTTTATATAAGAGGCAGCTTCTGAGAAGTCAAAACTACTGCGGCTACCCAGGCACATGACTGAAACTACCAATTAGAGTTACGAGTAGTATGACAAAACTAAACTATGCTTTCTGTTTTGGATCCACTTAACGTTAAGCGGACTAGTACGAGCTCGTACGAGTTTCAGCGAAATCGAGTGTTTGATGATTACTGTGTGAACAATTGGCTAATTGGAGCTACTAACGCATGTATATGCGGGGGTAGCCCCACAGTAAAGCCGGTCACTTGAGAGGATTGGGATTTTGACGATAATGGAAGAAGAGACCTCAAAACAGCAGGATCTCCCAATCCAACAAATATGGGGAAAATCGTGTGGCTATAGCCATCTTATTAACAATTTTATTACTCCTAAATTCTGATTATTTACTTAAGGTTAGTGGTAAGACAGTCGGAGCGGTTGTTATACTGTAGATTCTCCGGAAGCTTACTAACCCCTGTCTATGGCGTTGCGAAAACACACCACCAGTAAGGAGCGTTACAACGTGCCGCCCTTGAGTGGCCAGCCCGTGGCCTTGAGTGCAAAATGTGTCCCTTTAGGTGAAATGAATCATCAAGTATCTCTAAAGTTGAAAACATCTCTTGCGCTACAGATTAAACTTTAATTTGAAGTATAAAGTGTTCCTGTTTACTCGGCCAAAGGTAGATTTGGTGAAGTTCAACAATGCGTCCCAGGAGTGTGAACACTCCAATGACCTTGAACGTATGCTAGACATTGGCTAACGGCATCTGTCACTATCACAGCTGAAATATCAACGCCATTCACCAACTAAGGAGCAAATTCCACCCAGATTACGTTTACAAGTCCTGTTTGGACAATGTGTTATTGGCTAGTTATAGTTAGGATTAGGGTTAAGGTAAGTATTGGGGGCTGGACTTATCCGGCATGTTGGTTGAAATTTCGCTCGGCAAATTTTTTTTGTCAATAATTTTTAATAAAATTTTGTTATATGTTTTCTGGATTGATAGGAATTCTCATTTCCCGGCTGGTTACGATGGTGTTCGCGTCATTTAATCTGACTGCGACACGCTTAGCATATTGGTTGTAATGATTAGTGTTTCATGCTGAATGCGTCAAAACATCTCTACAATAAAGAAGATGAGGTAGTTGGGGGATAATGTCATCTACGCAAATAGTTTATTTCTTGTAGAAGCTGCAGCTTTCGACATAGTGTCATTCAATGAAGACTACGTCAAAATGTGGCTATTTTCGTGTGAAGAACAGTACTATTTTACAAAAGAATGCTATCAGTACATGGGAATCACCTATAAATGCCAACAGAACGTAAAACCAATGTGTAAACGAACGGCTACGAACTGCAATCCAACATAACCGACTAGCATGGACGAAAATGACCTTTGAGCGTCTCACTCCATCAGTGACCTTGAGCATGCGGGATAATTTCAGCCAGTATTGGGGTTAGGATTACGGTCATAATTAACATCAATGTTAGGTTTACGGTTAGGATAAGGTTGTAATTAGGGTTAGTGTGAAGTTTAGGGTTAAGACTAGGGATAGATTTAGATTTGATGTCACTTATTTTAATTTGTTTTATTATCCACATTTTCTGGTAAGTAGTCGTCGATCCTCTTACTGAAATCCATATTAATTCAACCGAGGGCTTTTGGGAAGACTGCACAACAGGATAAGAGAGATAAACGATTCACAAAAACAACTCATCTTCAGTCACCTCGGTGAATACATGTAGAGAAACTAGTCTAACTTAACAACTAATACTCCTCATTATAACTGGGACGTATTTTTGAGTCATGTCAGAGAAAGACAACTTGTTTAATGTGCTTTTCATGCGTTTTCTCGTAAATATACGTCATTTTTGCGCAAAAGTCACTTATTTTTATGACTGGTTGGCCGAAGGTTACTCGTGCGTTCGCACCTCTTGGTACGCTATTGTTGAACTTTCCCATATATCTCACGGCTTCACGGTTCTCAGTGTTTATTTTTGATATCTTGGGTATTTGTGTTCTTTAGTCTTTGACATAGGTTGGTATTAGCTTATATCCCCATATTTTTACAAACATTTGGGGTTTTCATTATTATTCGTCCCTTGGGTCCCTTGTGGATAAACATTGGCACACATCTATTGTATTCGGTAGTCTGCCACCATTTTCACCCGGTCTCCCCATTGCTTATAAACCTTCACTTCCGCTTCACCTCATCTCCATGCTTCCCTTGGACTTCCAAATCGTTTTTTCCAATTTGACTTCTACTCAAGGGTATGGCGCGTGATGTCACTCAACCGTCTACTCAGTAGTTTCCGAACCATCTCCATTTCCTTCTGCATACTTGTTGGACAACAGGCTGTTGACCTAACTTCTACCAGAGTTCCTTGTTGTCTGCTTGCCTTACCCGGCAGGCCATCTGATATTCATTATCCGGCGGAGTTGTCTGTTGATGAAAGTCTACAGCAGGCGGTTTGAAATGCTTTTCATGACATGCACGCCTTGTCTCTGAGTCATATAAGACGTAAGGTCTATGAAAATAAGTTAACCACTCCACCGATAATGACATGTAGTGCTGCAGCCTCATCTATGTATAACTTGTCTTTCCTGAGTGCAGACAGTCTCGGGCTAAGTTTACCATTAAAGAATCCTTCAATCTCTCCAAACGGATGCCCTGGACAGGGCCATGATTTCTCGCCTGTTCTCTCACATCCTTAAGCCACTTTTCGGTAATTTGGCAAGGTAACCTTTTTCCAGTTCTGCTGCTTTCTCAATTCTCAAAGAAATTACGGCCATCAAGATATATTCCACCTGGTAACACTCATGTTGCCTGGTAAATATCCCTATGCTCGTGAACGCCGCCTCGAATCACCAACTTAATAAATATGCAGATACCTGCGAAAGGACCAATGTTCTTATATATTTCATTGAGCTCCTGTCGACGAGTTTTTCTTTCTAGTTTGGTATTTATATTACCTCATTACAATTTCAATGTCGCCTCCTTTCTGAGGGTATTTTCCACTACTCATAGAGGTTAACTGTTAATAGAAGTCCTCCTTCTCTTGACCTGCACATTCAGTAGGAGCATAACATCGTGCTAAAGTAACCCTTCTTCTTTTGGATTGGATCTTGCTATCACTATCCTGCAGTAGATTAGCTCTCTCTGAACAGGAGCCTTTGATACTGTTGATTACACCATTACGGGAAGTGGCTTCCATTTGAGTGACTGCAGTAGATTACTATCTCCCCATTTAATTATTTGGAGGATCCATTCAACCCACAGACCCGGCCTATTTCTTTACTATATCCTCCCATTTTTTTGGCAATCCAAGCAGACTCGTCATTCCCAGACTTTATGAGGACATACTTTTGCTTCTATCGAAAGAAGACATTGGCTGTTAGGCTTTCTGAATTGCTTCACTAGCAAGCGTCATTTCATCAGTTCGACTCCAGGGAAGAATATGTTTGATTTTCTATTTTGTCTTCTGCTGAAATTTCAGTTGCAATGGCAGTAGTGCTGTTTTAACGGTGGGAGATAGCCTGCCCTATGTCCAACCTTCCCTCTTTTCTCAGATCAGGAACGTCTAATAATCTGTAGGGCTTCTACAGCACTGTATGCTATGGCCACTCAGACATAGTAAGTAATTAAGAATTTCAGAGGGCCAGAACGGGAGACTAAGAGGGACCTATATCATCTTTGTGGTTCCTATGGTTTTCTCTACCTAGTGGGTGATGGATGCCCTCCTGTGGGTTTGACTATGTGTGCCCACTCCAGTTGCCCTCTGTTGTGCTTTCGAAAATAAAGGTTAATAAACATCATCAGTCTTCTACAATATTTCAAGTTATCAGTCGGTAATTTGAGAAATTATTTTGATCGAAAAGTCAGTTTCTAAATTTGTGAGCCGGTTTCTTCTCATTATGCCTTCTATACGGTTATAGTTGACGCAGTGCATATATCTGCCTTGTGTTCGGTTGTTTTCCAGATTTATCTTCGCTTATACGTATCATTTAACTCAACCTTTTTGTGCATTATAATGTCTCATTAACTATACTCTTCCTCTGGTGAGGAGGATTCTATAGTCACTACAAAAGTTAGTTTACCTAAATTTGATCTACATGACCCGGAACTTTGACTTTTTCGACCGGAGAACTACTTTGAAAGCTACAGCGTTAAGTCTGAAACCAACAGGTATTGGGACAGGTCATCTTAGGTACCGGATCACATTAGCAAGGAAGCGCATGACCTTGGGCTTTACAACCCCCAACGAGCATCCATACGTAGTTCTTAAGCGCGAGGGGACAAAACACCTCTCTCTGTCAGAAAACCAGCAATACAATGTTTATTGCAAGGGGAGGACATAGGAAATAGATTCCAATCACAGTTCTCGCGCCACCTGCAGTAGCGTTTTAGGGACAACACGGTGGGGGAGACTGAACTGAGGCAAGGTTGGATGCAAGCTCTCCCCCCGGAGTATGTTCAACAGACACTGGACGCACAGGATCCTGACTCTTCCTTTGAACAGTCGGCACGCACTGCTGACCCGACACTGGAGACGAGACGACTTACGGAAGGGCAGGTGAACCATATAAGATGAGCAAGCACCCAATAATCCCAGAACTAGTAGTCAGCGTCAGATCGTCAATGTAGCAGATGCTGAAAGTACAGCCAAAGCAGGGCAGAAGAAGTAGATCACTGGGCAGAGCACGTTTTGACTGAAGAGTAGGCCCAGATAAACTAGATCAACAGACCAATTCTGTTGGTGCCTTGACAGTCACCAATTCTACTTCGAGGACAAGAACTCCCCCAGAATTCTCGGTCAATACAGGAGCTTCACTCAGTACCATACCAAAAACTAAGGCCAAGCCGGTCGACGGAAGCAACCCGTCACGCAACAGGCAACCAATGGAACCCAAACAGCAATGTTCGGACTGAAGACTATGGCCTTTGGCCTCGCGTTTAAATGAAACCTTCCATGGGTTTTCACTGTTGCTGACGTAGACCCGGCAGTCCTCGGTACAGACTTCATGGAGGGATACGACTTATTAGCTGATCCTCAAAAGAGACACTTAACAGCGAAGAGAACCTCCTGGCATACGAATGGTGAAACGAGCATCATTCGTTAGGTCTAATCCAATCTCAGTTAGCCATTGTATGAATAACCTCCTGAAGAGATGGATTCGCTGTCTTCAACCAAATTCCAAAACAAAATCAAATGGAACTATATTAATGAGAAACTGTTGAAGAACCGTAGGGTTATTGTTCTGTTGTACAACGTGTACCACGCAAACGTGTTACAAACCTTCAGGTATGAGGATGACCTAACGCAAAATCGCTCATGGTTGACAAAAATGTTCATTCAAAGAAGAGATGTACAACAGCTCAATGGACCACAAATGGTGCAATTAAGAGAAAATGAAAATGGTATGTGAGGTACAGCCTTAGTGTCCACAGGCGCAGTGTAAGACGTTATACATTATCTCATTAATTTCTCTACGCTGGTGCTAAAGTTATGTTTATTACGAGAGGTTGACCACTTCATATGTT